GTGACAATGATAATGATACCCAACATTTTCATTTACCGCTCATGTTTAATCTTTGTGCTAGATATGCAACTTTAATCATATAAAGTAGTCTGGACGCTTCTGAATACATGCAGTGCATAAAGAAAAATAAATATAATGAGACAGAATTAGGCTTCTCATAATAAAGCTTATAGCCGCATTACGTGTGGACTGCATTTCATCAGCATCATATATAGTGATGACAAAAAGAAACATCAAAAGAGGTATAAGGACCAGATGAAGGAATATTCAAAATCAAAAGCATACACATCCACATTCAAAAGTTGCTTTCTTCCCCTCTTTCTTAATAAATATAGTGTGGAGATGGCACTAGCAAAAGAAAATATTAGATAAGTTCAACACATTCAGCAAGCAAAGTTTATATAATTAATCAACTGATCATATTCATGAAGCCAAACACAGCCGAATCCTTCGGCAGCTAACACATAATTTTCAGAAGATGTCAAAGTTGTATGATACAAATTGAAACTACATGCCCTTTGAGAAGGGTATAGATAGAAAATAAATATAAATACTAGAAAATTAAGGACTAAGATTAACTGTTTAGAAGTTTAGATTAATTCACACAAACCAGCTAGAAAAACAAAAAACAAAGAAATTTTAAGAATAAAAAAGTCATACCTAGCTAACAATTAAGTGCACTCTACAAAATAGTCATAAACTTTATCTCTTGCTAGTATCAGCAATTTAGACAGTCACCAACTGAAGTGAACTAAAGTGAACTGAACTTCACACTCTCTTAGAACTAAACTAGAAGCATATCCATCAAACTGAAACATTTCTGAGTGCAGAAAAGAAGAACAACTCTATATCCGGTGAAGAAAAAAATGCTATTTGTGACCTATTTGATGAGCAATTAGGCCTTGCCCTTCTCTTCTTTGGAGCTGGTGGACATGTTAACAGCTCTTGTATTCTGTGTCTTTTAGCCTTTGGTGTAGCACAGCCACTTGAACTTGAACAAACATCTTTATTATCTTCCTCAACATTGCAAATACCTTGTTCTTGGCAGCTTGAAGAAGCACTATTCTCACTTGGCCTTGTCATTGATCTTTGTTGCTTTGTTTCTTCAAGCTTTTGCTTTTGCCACTTGATTCGAGTTCTTGTAGAGGTTGACGACATCTCAGGTTCTGCCGTTGCTAAATCCAAAACGGGTCCACGCTAAAACACTTGCACAAAAACTAGTGGAAAAGCTGAGTTTGCATGTCTAAGGTGGACACAGGATAAGACCCTTACTTTTACTTTGTTGGTTTCTGCCAAAACCATGAGAGAAACCACGGAGTGATCACTCAGCAGAAAATATAGATTGTTGTTGTGAGAAGCATATGAAGGAGTTTTGAAGGCATGAAACTGTGTGAATGGTTGAAAAGTTCCTGGCCGACCATAGTATATAATATTATATATGATATATATGAATATGAAATCCTAAACTACTACGCGGCAAAACTACTACCACTAGCAAATTAATTAAATCATATTGCAAGTGCTCTAACAAATCCTGATATATAAGATGGAAAACTCTCGAGACCCTTTGTGAACTGGAATCACACACCTTTTTGCTCGAGCTTATATAATCCCCACTTAATAGTATTATTTATGGGAGTAATTAAGTTAACAAATGTGTTAAAAGATACTTAGTTATATGATAAAACTTTTAATGGAAAAGTAACAATGCAAGCAAAAGTTGGAGAAGCCGCAGACAAGGAAAGATGGAGCTTTTTAAAAACTCTTTTCTTTTTAAAAAAACGGAGCCTTTTGAAGTGGGGGATTAAAGAGAAATGTTGGAATAAACTTTTAAATTTGCCTTTTAAAAATGAGTTTCCGAAAAAACAATCCATTTTTTTAATCTATAAATATTACAATTATGTAAAAAAAAAAAAAGTTTGAACATAAGAACACATGCATATTACCTCAACTAGTCAACTCCCAAATTTTTACATTATTAGGAAATGTGTTAAATATCATTTTTAAACTAATTATTATAATTTATAAATATCAATAGTCTTATTAAACATGATAATCCATAATTAGATTGCATAAAAAAATTATCAGACCATCAGTAGGATAGATTTAGCAAGGGAAACTTTTTCCTGCCTTTATAGTTATTTACATATTTAAATTCAAATAATGTAATACATTAATTAAAGTTTAAAAGTAATAAAAAAATATTAAAATTCAACCATATCAATTCTTATATATTAAATACGAAATTCTATTTTATACAAAAAATATTTTTAGAAATTTTTCTTTGATGAAAAAATTTTTAGAAATTTTTTTAATTTCTTATTTAATTTTATTATTATTTCATGATTATTTATAAATAAATTTTAATACCTTAAAAAACATCAATAAATAAAAATAACATTGTGTTATAATATAAATTATTTATTATAAATTTAAAATATAATTTATATATTTAAAAATATTTATTTATACAAGTTTTAAATATAATTTATATATTTAAACATAATATTTATTTATATATATAATTTATTATAAATTTTAATTATATATAATAAATATTTAAGCATGTTAAACTATTTAGTTATTCACCATGTATCTAATGAAAGTTTTTCATAATTTTTTTCTAACAATTTTATATCAAACATATTATATATTAACTTAAAATACTACAAGAAATGTTACATATAGTGACATACAAAAAGTATCACTATAGGTACAATATATGTAGGTATATATCTATTTGACATATAGTTACACACAATTTTAGTGTTGATTTTGAATGAGATTTAACAACATATTTTGTGTGTCACTATAGCTTATACCCATACTTTTTAATAATATACCAACATATATTGTAGTTATTATGTGGATAAAAATAATTTTTAGTAACATCTATAGTGTCACTATAGGATGTGTGTCACTATATAGCAATATTCTAGTAGTGAAATATTTGAGGAAGTGGGGGCCAAGGCTTATATATATATATATCAAAAGCTATATATATATATATAGGGGTTATAATAACATCGGTGTAACTTTTACCAAGTATTACACTACTCAATAATTCTATATTAAATGTAAATTTTGTAAATCTAACCGTTAGATTGAAAATTCATATCACTTTATATGTGTATATCAAATTTTGTTAAAATTGAACAACAATTTGAAGTTAATCAAAGCGTTCATATTTTAGTATATTTTGAAATGAATATATTACATCAATTTTGTTTTATAAGAATGAAGTATCAAATCATCTTGGATTAACATAAAATTTTATATATATGATCTAAGAGTAAAGAACTCTCAATTTAATGGTTTAATTTGTAAAATTCACATTTAATATAGAGTTATTGAGCAGTGTAATACTTAGTAAAAGTTATACCGATGTTATTATAACCCTCTTCATATATAATATATATATAAATTGTAACCAAATTGTCCCGTTGCTTATATTTCTTTTCCTCATTAGGCCCCTTTAAATACCAATAGTTTGTCGTTTCATAAGAGCAAATGGGAAAGTCATGATAGTTTAGAGGATAAAAAAAATTTATGGTATTTTCAAAATTAAATGAGGAATAACAATTGCAAAAAGACCATCCGGCAAAGAAAAATACTTTGAGACTCATGTGAAAGAAGAAAAAAAAAAGATGAAATTAAAAAATTGTCAGATTTTAAGAGATTTAAAAATTAAGATTTAATTGTTGTATTATGTGTTGAATGTTTTAAATCGTGTCATTTAAGAATAACTGTAGGAACTTCTATTTGTATTTTAATATATATAAGAATTAAATGAATTTTTGATTATAATAAAAAAAATTATAAGTATAAGATTAAATAATAAAAAAATGAATCAGTTAAGTTTCTTCATAATTAAAAGAAAACTATATAAAAAATAATAATAATAAAATTTTCTTTATTTTTTATTTATTTATATTTTTACCGTGTTTCACTATGAGACATACAAATATAACTTTAATTGATAATCCCGTGACCATCCTTTATTGAATCGAAGTACATTATGATTACTCAAGAATCTGTCGAGTTGTAATAATCAATGATTTTCATTTTTGTTTTCTGTTTAGTCTATCAAAGGATCATTTGTCCATTTCACGCTTCACCTGTCTTGTGACCCTTCAAACACCTCATTTTATTTTTTTTATCTGTTAGTACCATTCACGGATCAAACTTCTCAAAAATACAAATTAAACTGAACGGATCAGTTAATAGATTAGATCGATTTGGTGTAATTCGAATTATCACTTTATACTCATGAATTCATCTTTAAAAAAAAATCCAATCGATATTTTCTCAAACCAGATGGAATTATATCTAACATTATACAAAGTAAATGTCATGTTAATAAAATAGCAACTCTAATTAACTTGTGTCATACCATCTATCATGTTAAGTTCTCCAATCCATTCGATGAAGCATTAGACAATTTCGTGAGACTTAAAAATGAGTTTAAGTAATTACTTTCAGAGAGAGGGTGGTCCATCAACCTTCCCTTTGCATAACCAATTGCCATTACGCGAAATCATTCAAGTAATTAATAGTAGCATCTTGAAGAGTAATGGAGAAATTTGGAAGAAAAAAAGAATCCCAAATCACTGAAGCACACGAAGAATCTAATGACAAACTTGAAGAATCGTATAAAATAGAATAATTGCTCATTGCACTGCTTGGATAACTACATGTTCTTTAGAATCATCATACAAATTTTCAACTTTCTAACTTGAAAACCTATCGCCACCTCTATTAAACCATTGCATATTTGGGCCTACTGCAAAACTATTTGGGCCAACTACAATGGGCTCATTAATTAGGTATACCTATTAATTCTACGCGAGTTACAGTGATACCATTGCCCACTATTGCAATAAGGCAAATTGAAGTTTGCATATACTATATAAATGTGTAAGAAGCATTTCAGGTTAGTGACATCAACAGTATTCTCGTATCTAGTAATCAATGACGCATATGTATTCAATGAAAATATGGTGTTCTTACAATTATGATTACTCTTAAACTATAGACTAAATATAACAGGAATTCATCAGACAATTGGAAATTGAATGCAAACATCAGACAAATCATCACAATAACTAATATTCACACATACCTATAAAAAATAAACTACTCAGTCATTTAGTGTGTGCTCAAATGAAGACTTAAATTCACGCAGATGCGGCAAATTTCAAATGAACAACATAGTCTTCGAAGTCTACAGTCACTTCCCCATATAGGTTGAGGGGCAAAAAGAGTTGAACGACTAATTTTCACCTAGATGTTAGTCCTACTATACACGTTGAATATGAAGGTAACAAAATGTAAAGTAAAAGATAAAAAGATCCTAAAAAATTACTTATTCTGAACCATTTTCTTGTGGATCATCTTCCTGTGAGGGCCTGTGCAAGACAAATGGTGGTGGTGGTGGATCAACGTTCAATGTACCATCTAGTACTCTCACTACCTCCTCCATACAAGGTCTTCTACGTTCATCCATTTGAAGGCACCAGAATGAAATTCTCAATGCACGTTCTAGTTCCTCTGAATTGACAATACCTTCAATTCTTTTGTCAACCACATTAACTCCCCTCCCTTCCATCCATTCCTTGTAAGTCCACTCACAAAGTTGTTCATGATCTTGGCACCCTGTTAACAAGGTTAATACCAACTTCCCAAAATCCCCTACATCCTTTTCAGCTGAAAAGCCACAATATGTGGCCTCACCATCTGCTATTGCAAACCCATATTCACACACCTTAGCCACTGAATTTTCATCCAACATGACATTCTCACACTTCAAATTCCCATGGCTCACAAACTCCCTACACCCGGTGTGCAAATAACAAATGGCCTTGGCCACACTTGAGCATATTTCAACTCTCTTTCTCCAACTTAGCCTCTTGCGAAGAGTGCAATCGTCAATGTATTTATCCAGTGAAACGTTTTTGGCATGTTCATACACCAAAAATCTATGGTTAAACTCGCAACAATAACCTTCCAGCTTCACAAGGTTCTTGTGGTGGATGTTGCTCAACTTTAGAACAGCACTTCGAAACTTCCTTTCATCTATGGATGCATTCAGGTCTTTGACCGCAATCAGGCAATTGTTCGGTAGCACACCCTTGAACATATTTGGCCCAATTTGATCTTTGAGGTCCCCAGTGAGGCTCTTAATTTCTGAGAAGGAGAACACAACTAAGCCCTTTGGATTTTGGCTTGTGAAAGCTGCCGTGACATTTTGCATGGTGGAGTTTTTTCTTCTTAAGATGATGAAAACAACTCCCAGCTGGAGGATAGCAAAGATGAAAAATGTTCCTGAGGCTGCTCCCATTAGACAAGGAACACAGAACATACGAGGCAGTTTCGGCAGAGGTGGCTTGGTGAGAGCAGGATTTACAGCAAATGGACCTGAACAACTTTTAACAAAAGATATTGAGCTTAGAGATGGATCTGCATAGCCAGTAACATACTTGGTTTTCTTTATGGAGCATCGTGGTCTACCATTGTTGGAAAAGGTTGCAACCGTACACTGCGTGTCATTCAGGCATAACTGCTCACATTGCTGCAAACTACTTGTGACAACTGAATCATCAGGAGGATAAATTCCATACAGATAAGTGTTCTTATATGGTTGCATATTGGATCCAGATTCACACTCCTGTTCATATGGAACCAAACATTGGTTAGACTCAGTTAGCTCAAAGGGGCACCTGCAATCAGTAGAACCGGAAGCAGTGAAGACACAGACACCAAGTTGACCACATGTTGCAAAGACTTTGCACTGATTCTCAACTGCTTGCCAGACTGATCTCCATGACTGTGAAGCTTCAATCCATGAATACAGGCGGAGATTTCCATCCACTTCGAGCCTAAGAAATCGATAATTCACAGAATCATTATGGTCTGCTCCAAAAACACTCCAAACAGCCTTCAAACTTTGGTCTCGAAGTTGCAAAGCTCCACCAGTTGTAAGAAATGCAGTCAGATTTGAAGCAGAAGAAGGGCTTCCACTTGTCCAATATATAATATTTCTCTCCCAGCAGAGCTGCAATTGACCTGAAGCATTCATGTAAAGTGTGTAGTAACTGGTCATGGGATTCTTGGTTGTCGCACGAAGGGTCTTATAAACAGATAAACTCTGTCCTGGAAGCAGTGTATCAGATGGAGTATCAAAGCTTTGCCAAATGATGTTTTGCTCTGTGTCTATCAGAACAAGATTGCCATTATCATGAAGAGTAGCTGAAACAACAGCTCTGTTCCCAGTTCTACTCCTCCATACAGTGACTCCTTGTAAGGAATCAAACAGGATCAGTTCCCCTTCAGGAGTGAGTTGGAAATAGGACATGTTACTCACTTTGTCATGAGCTCCAACAACCCAGACCACTGTTTGTTGGTCATATGGTATAGACTTCGAATTGAATCGAATGCCAGCACTAAACTGGTTAGGTTCGTCTAAAATGTTAAAGAACCCAAATGCAAAATCACCATTGGAGGAAACCCAAAAGTTATTGTCAACCACAGAAAGCTTGGAACCCAATGGTATCACGGTTGACACAACAGGATGCAGCAAGAAGCCAACAAAAATACATAGCAAAAAGGGTGATCTAGAAACACAGTCTTGTTCAAGCATATCTATATATGCTGAGAGGGTCAAATATAAGAGATATAACAATGAATCCTATTGCCCAAGTCACATTTACAAGTGAAGGACGTTGAATTTCACCGTGGCCAAACACCTATAAAGAGATTAGGTAAGTTTTTGTCAAGGCCAAAGAGTGGCTCAGCAGTGCAATGATAAGAGCTCAAAAACACATATTTCAAAAAATATTAGGAGAGAATAATGTCAAAATTGAAGGGTCGGGAAGAAAATAACAGAATGAATCAAAGGAGGTAGAAATGTACACGTTTGGTACCTTATTGTCCAAAAGTCAGAAATTCAATCAGCAACCACACACTGCTACCATGAGCTTCATACAAACTTGCAAGAAATTGACAATGTAGCAACATAAATTTGTCAGAGCAACTTGAAATTGGACAGTGTGGAGAGCTATGTGCGGAAAATGGCTGCAAAAGGAAGATAAAAAGGAGATCCCAGGGTGGAAGGCCTTTTCATTCTTGTGGAAAATAACAGGAAAAGACGGGTTTGAGATTTAAAAATTGGAACTTTAAGCAGAGACGGGTCCCAAATTAGACTAAAGAGGAGTCCATTTCGTAGAATGCAATTACTTTTCAAGGTTTAGACTTTTAAGAAACAAAAGAATGGTCTTGCAGAAGGGTAACCTTGAATGTCGCAAATGGTTCCAATAACAGACCATGAGATGAGACCAACCCCACAAAAGAATGAAAAAGAGACAATTTGCATAATATTGCTGATGGCTGAAAAAGAGTTAGCTTGGCATTTTATGGGTTAAAGAGAGTGAGAGAGATCTGAATGAATCAAACACAGTGGAAAAGCTTGAGCTCTGAATTGGGGGAATGCTCAGCTTGAATGCACAAAATCTGATGAACCAAATGGAAATGTTGTACCTTTTTTTCCACCCTTGTCTTAGAAACCAACAACTTAGCTGAAAAGGAACTGAGCTAAAGAGATGCACCAGAAATGTTAGACTGGTTGGGAAAGGACATGAAGTTAAAGGGTGTGGATGGAAGTGAGTGAAAATGGGGTGACTTTGAGGATGCTGCTCTCTGGGAGCAGAGAAAGAATAGTGGTAAGTAAGAGTGAGAATAAGAGCAAATGGGGGGCATAAAGAAAGCAATGTAATGGGAGTACAGTGGTGAATATTGACGAAGAAGAAGAAATGAAGAACGGAAAGCAACACCAGAGAAAGGGTTTAAAAGGAATTTACTTTATTGTAAGTTATTTATTATTATTATTATTATTATTATGGTGAAATGAAGAAGAAGAAGGAGAAGAAGAAGAAACCATAGTTTGAAAAATCGGACCGGTCATCGAACCGGTTAAGGTACTGGGTCAGTGGGTCAAAGGTTGAACCGGTGGGTCACTAGTTGAACCGCATGACTCGGTTTTTATTTATTTTTATTAAAAAAATATTCATATTAAATATATTTTATACTTATAAATTTTAATAAATTTATATCTTATTTTAAATTTCAATTTTTCTATCTTATTTAAAATTATTTTTATTTTTATTTTGTAAAAAATATATAAAAAATTACATATTAAACTGTATATTAATACAAATTAAAAATATAAATAATATGTACATATATAATATGCTTGCAATTGATATCACAAAATAATATATGTAATATTTACATATATATTATATTATTAAATATATAATATAAAATTAATAATATACTATAAAAGTTATTTAAGTTGTATATTATATAAACAAATACATTAGAACAAGTAGTTATTGTTATATTTAATAAGAATCTTTGTTCTTCTATTAAAAGATTCAATTTTCATTATTATTTTTGTGGTTTATGTCCCTTAAAAAAGAAATAAAAAAATAAAATAAAAAAGTGGTTGAACCGGTTTGACCCACCGGTTCACCGGTTGAACCGGAAAATTGACCGGTTCAATCCGGTTTGAAACGGGTCGACTGCATAACCGATCCAACTTAAGGTTCGGACCGGCTGGACAGCCGGTTCCCGGTCCAACCGGTCTGACCAGCCGGTTCGGTCCGGTTTTTTAAACACTGGAAAAAACATTTAAATGAATTGATTATGTTTTTCATTAGCTAAATTTGGAGTATATATTTTTCTGTTCCTAAATTTAAAATTTATGCTTTTAATCTTTAAAATATATATTAAAAATTATTATTTTACTTCTTTAACTTATTTTTTTAATTATTTATAATTATATATATATATATATGTTATTTTAATTGCTAATATTATAATTGATAATAAGAAATCGAGAAAGATTAAAATGATATTTTTTTATATTTTAAGTATTAAAAATAAAAGTTTTAAATTTAAAAAATTAAATTAATAATTTTTGAAATTATAATTTTAAATTTGAGGAGAAAAAATATATCCTCCAAATTTAAGAGACTGAAAATATATTTAATATTAAATTTTTAGACATTTCAAATAACATAGTTCCCTTAAAATATTATTAAATGATAAGTGAACTTTCTCTAAATTTTTAAAAGTTAATTTTTATAATAATTATCTTAAAAGTTACACTAATCATGATTAATGAATAATTGATTGTAAAAAAAATAGAATTTTTTTGGTATATTATTTGTTTGGGTATATTTTAAAAAAAGTGACATAATATTTTATTTTAAATAAACATTTACCACTCTTGTGCATTTAATAAAGTGATCCAATATTTTATTTTACTAAATTTATTTCATCTCACAATAACTATGGTTTAAATTTCTTACACGTATATTAAGATAATAATATTGATCATATAATTTTATTAAAATAGCTTAATGTGTAATAAATATATTATTTTTAATTATAGCAGTTAAATAATTTATTAAAAAATAATTAATATTATATTAAAAAATAAAAATATCATTCATTTTAATATCTTTTTTAAAATATTAAAACTAAAGTTATTGTAGGATGAATGGAATATAAACACTCATTATTTTATATTATTTTAAAAAGGTGAATATTTTTTAAAAGACTATAAAAATTAAGAATGTTGGTTTACTTTTCATTTAATTATTGTTCTTTTAACAATCATTGATTTAATTATTGTTACATCCTTATTTCAAAATGCTCTATTCCATAGAGTAATTATTGTTTTTTTAATATATAAATGTCTTAAGCATATTAAGTCAAATATAATGATTATACACAGAAAGTGAAAAGCTATTTTATATTTTCAATTAATTATTAATTATGATATAAATGATTTTAAATTTATTTAATAAATTAATAAATTCATCACACATAGTCAATGCATATACTACTTTATCAATTAAATACGACTTATAATATTTGCATTTTTAAGAATATACAAAAATGACTCTATGTTTTAGGTTTTAATATAATAAATATTTTTGTTTAACTTTGTACTTTTGATTTTTAAAACATTAATTAAAAATTTTTATTTTCTAAGTCAAATTAGATACATGAAATTTGTATACCACTCATGTGATACTATGTTAATATATATACACTATAGTATTGACAATAATATTCTCTAGTTTTGTTGGCAACCATGTTAGAATGTATATGATATTACTCATTTAATTATTAAATCAACGTTTTATTTTAAAGAAAATGATAATTTAATCCTAATTTTTCTTTTTATCGAAATAAATAACAGTAAAGTATGTGGAAAAGAAATATATTTAAAAAAAACACTTTAATTTTAGTCTCTAAAATATATAGAATTCATTAAATTATGTAAGTGTAGAGACGTGAATTTAAGTCTAACTTTTTCTCTTTTTTTACAAAATGAACTCACGCCTATTGAGTAGCTAAAATAACTTTAATTATGGATCAACTATATTTTTTTTGGTAACACCACAATATTTAGTTACTAAATACCTTACAAACTTTATTTATATATGATATCTTGCATATAAATTTCACTTTAAAAAAAGAAACCTTACATACAATTAGTCCTAAATAATAATTTTTATTGACAACTCTTTTATGTTATTTTTTTATAATTTGTTATTAATTTGATCATTAATAACATGTTATTTATTATTCATTGATATCACTTTGTAACATGATATGCAATTGATAATGTGACACTTAAATGTGTCAAGTCACACATCAACTAAGAGTATTAGGAGGTGTATTGAATTAAAATTTTATAAGATTTTTTTTTAGCACAAAACACAAAGACTAAAATTTTTGTAGAAATTTTTTTAAAAAAATTTCGAAAGATCATGTAAGATTGTAATGATTTTTAAAAAGTCTTTTTTATTCAAAAATTTGTAATATAAATTTTAATAAATTTGTATCTTAAGATTTAAAAGAAATTTATTAGATTTCAAATGACAATCTAAATTTTTAAAAATAATATAATTAATAAAAATAACATAAATGACAATGTTCGAATAAAATAAATAAAATTAATAATTTTTAATCTTTTAATAAATAATTAATTATGATTTCATTTTTTTAAGTAACATTTTTCTATATACAATCTTTTATGCAGTTGTATTTTTTTATTCATACTATTGAATTTAAACAATATGCTTGAATTTATGATATTCAATAATCTATAGAATTGTCAAAATATATTTTTAATATATTTTAATATTGAATTTTATTGAAAATATAAAAATTAGTTGAATTTTAACAAATATAATATTTAATCATTTAAAAAATAACAATATATAATATTTAATAATTTTAGATAAATATTCATAAATTATAATTCAATACTAATAGATAAAAATGCAACAAAAGAATATTGATAAAAGAAACGAGAGAGATGAACAAAAAGATAAAGAGAATATGAGATACAAAAGACATTAGAAGATATAGAGAGAGAGAGAGAGAGAGAGAGAGAGAGAGAGAGAGGAAGAAGAAGATGAGATTGGGAAGAAAGGGAGAGAGGAGAAAGAGAGGGAAAATAAAAGATGAGAGAGGAAGGGGAGAAAGAGAGGAAAAAAAAGAATATGGGATAGGGAAGAGAGATAGGAGACACAAAAGATGAGAGAAAAGCAAAAGAGGTGAGAAAAAAAAATCATGTAAAATCTCAATAATTTTAGTGAGATAGTTGAATAAGTAAATTATATGTTAGTTCTACTAAAAAAATCTCACAAAAATCATTTATCAAAGTAATCTATTGAATTTTTTATGTTGTGTAATACCCATAAATTTTTTCAATTAAAAAAAAATCTTAATTGAATACTATTGGATTTTAACATACTCGTAAAAAATGATTTTCTTAATTGAATAACACTAGATGTTAATGTACTCTTAAAAAATATTAATTGTATTAATTGAATACCACATAACATTTTTATATTAATAAAAAAATTTGATTAAATATCAATAGACTTTTTTATAATAAAAAATCTTTTAAAATCCTTTGAAATTTTAATCCAATACACTCTTTAATATCTTGTGATGATAAAAAAAAATTAAAATGACTGATAAAAATAAAAAAATAAAAAATAATTTATCATATTTTTTCTACTATTATCGTGTCTCATGAAATCATAGACCAAAGTAGTACTCTACTCTACCAATAATATATATTACTTAACTACTTCATAATTAACTTGAGAGGTGATTTACATTAGAACTAGATATATTGAAACTAGAGTGGGCCTAATAGTAAAAATTAAAGTAATATGCACAAAATTTTAGATTCAAACTTTGACGTTCTTATTCTAATTCAAATAGATAAATATACATATATATATATATATATATATATATATATATATATATATATATATATATATATATATATATATATATATATATGCAACTTATTTATTTGGTGCTTAAAAAGTATAAACTTTTTTTTAATTTGTCAGTATTTATGTTGTCTTTATTATTAACTAATGACTAAAAAAAATAAAGAAAGATAAGCAAAACTGAACCCAATATAAACCAAAATTAAATGATAGATTGATATTGACAATTTATGGAGATATTTATATAATCTAAGATAAATATTACTATATCACGATTTGGATTTTTTTTATTTTTTAATGTATTTCATTCATAATTTGTTGGACAATAGAGTGAGAGATATAACCAAAGTCATGTAAATCAGCATAAGAAATAGTCACCTTTGTCAAAGAATGGACTATCAAATTCGATTGTCTACTAATAAAATCGACTTTATAATTTTTTAAACTAAGAAGTAACAATTTAGATTTGCTTATAATGGTTCCAAACTCAAAAAAATCTTTATGATTA